TCTGTCTCGTGTCTGTGAACGTGTGGGTGTAGTGCGGACAGTTTCCAGGAATTCGAAAGGGAGGAAGAACCAATTGGGGGGTCCCAGCTGAGGGCAGGAAGGGCACAGGAGGCCACGTGGACTGCCCTTACCCAGCAACACCACCAGGTCCTTGACATCGGCATTAATAGACAAGGACTTGCTGTTGTTGTGGGCATGTTGTTCCTGAAAGCTTCCAGCAGGGGGCTGGCAGAGCCAGCCCTGTGTAGACTTTGGGCTAGCTGGCCCTAGAGCTCCACACATAGAGGCACAGGAAGACTTGCATGCCTCAGGAGGGGACTATGGCCTCATGTCATTAAAATGTGCAGCCACTAAAAGGAATGAGATCACCCCGGCATTCTGACATGAAGAGATATTCAAATTACATGAAAAGTGTTGATTTCAAAACTTACTGCAAAGCCACAGCAATCAAAACAGTGTGGCTCTGGGGCCAGCCGAGTGGCGCGTTGGTTAAGAGCTGGTTTGGGACACCAGATCTGAGCAGCAGGACCCCGGTTCAGATCCCACATGAGGAGGGCCAGTGACACTGCCCTCTACAGCTAAGATGAACAACAGCTCGACCTGGAGCTGGGCTGCTGTGAGTCGCTAGCGATGGCGTAGGCTGCAGCCCCTGCTGCAGTGGGCTGCCATAACCTACTGTGTGTAGCCGGCAGCCAACATGAGCGGCCGGCAGCCGGTGTGAGCTGCCAAGAGCCGCCATGAGCGGCTGTCCAGAGGCCGGCGACCGATCTGCCTTACCCCGGAAGAGCGCAATGATAATACCAACATGGGCCAGTGAAGTGACGTCCTCCACAGCTGGACTGAAGAACAGAAGGACAGCAACTTGTCTGTTCCCCTTTCCTCGATTCCCCAGAGCTGTTCCCCTCCCCTAATTCCCCGATAAAATCTTTAAAAACAAACAAACAGTGTGGCTCTGGCATAACGATAGACATGTAGACCAACAGAATAAAATTGAGGGCCCAGAAATAAACTCAAACATCTCCGGCCAACTGATTTTTGACAAGGGTGCCAAGACCATTCAATGGGGGGAAAATAATCTCTCCAACAAATGGACAACCAGATAACCACAGGGAAAAGAATGCAGTCAGACCTCTACTTCACTCACTCCATCTATAAAAATTAACTCAAAATGAATCAACGACCTTGATCCCATTCTTGACAATGTTTTGATGCACAAAAGCTTTTAATTTTTATGAAGTTCAAACATAGAATTACCTTAGGACCTAGCAATTCCACTCCTAGATGTGTACTAAAGAGAAACGAAAACATGTTCACACAGAAACTTGTGCATGAATGTTCATAGCAGCCTTATTCACAATAGCCAAAAGGTGGAAACAACCCACATATCCTTCAACAGGTGAATGGGTAAATTGTAGTCTATCCATACACTGGAATATTATTCAGCCATAAAAAGGAACAACAGCGCTGGCCGAGTGGCTCAGTTGGTTAAGAGCGCGAGCTCTGAGCAACGGGGTTGCCGGTTCAATTACCACATGGGCCAGTAGG